ATAAGAGCCCCTATACTGATTGCTAGATTCTAGGGATATGGACAGCTTTTGCACTGGAGGGTGGTGGCACCTGGGCTGGGTCTGGTTAAAGGGTGCTGGTTCGGTGTTGGCCATCAATGTAGGGTCACATGGATATGGCAGAGAGACTCCTATAGCTTTTTCAGTTCCTTTTACTGTCAGTAGGTGGCAAGAGGGCCTAGTGGCCTCTGGCATAAATGCATTTACATCAGAGTGTCTGTGTTTGTGATTTATGTTTGTTTTATATGGATATATATGTATATATAGTTGTTTATAGGTATGCATACATATATGTAATTAAACATGCTAACTATATTTATTTATGAATAAATATGTTGCATGGGCCAAGAACACCAACTTCCACTTTTCCCTGTGAAGTGAAGCTGAAAATCAACCACGAAGGACAGATTAATAGAAGGAAAGGCATGTACATTTATTCATGTGTACGAGTCACACAAAATGTAAGAACTCAAAGGCAAGATGGCTGATGCTTTTATAATATCTAAAGGTCACAGCAAGAGTAGGTGCCCGGATAATGGCATCTGTACATCGGACTTCACATACCAAGTCATTTCTTCTTCTGCTGTTTGAGAAAGTTGAGTCTAGGGCTCTCTGTAGCCTCCAGATTGCACATGGGCCATTCACATCGACCATGGCGACTGGCCTCACCCCACAAGCTAGGCCCTAGTTAGGTGACAGGCATCATCCATCCACCTGGGGTGGCAGTTTTCAACCATCTGTCACTGATCTAGTTTTATTTTTCTGTCCTTTACATTTGAGTGCACAAGAGTTTGTTAAGTCAGCCTCTTGTTTCCCCTGCTTCTTATGCTTATGGCAAGGACACAGGAACCTGGTATACTGTGTGCCTCCAAGTCGATGTTCTTCAGGGCTGCCCTGTAGGATTCTCCAGATGCAAATAAAAGCAACCAGAACAGACTTACCCAGGACCATGTAGCTGTCAGCATCTGAGGCTACTTACCTGGCCTCGAAAAGGCCCTAACGGCCCTCAGTGCAGTTTCACCCTGGCCTGGTTCTCTCTCCACCCTCTACCATCTGATGCTATCCACACTTGTGCGGCCCCTGCCCATCCTGAGGGCTCAGACTTAGCCATTTTTCCTCTCCACCTTGGATATTCAAAAGAAGAGTGCCTGTCCTGATTGAAAAGTTTGGGTAGTAGATAGCTTTTCCATTAGAGGGTGATGAGCCTTGGGCTAGCTCTGGTTAAAGACATTGTCCTGGTGTTTGCTATCAGGATAGAGTCTGAAAACTGGCAGAAAAAGACTCTTGTGATCATTTTGGATCCCTTCACTGATAGTAGGTGACAAAAGGACCCTCTGGCCCCCACTATTAATATAACTGCATTTGTGTTATGTATGTGTTTCTGTTTGTGTTCTTTTAAAATTGTACATATATTAATATGTGTAGTTATCCATATATATTTTTTTATATACATATATATATATTCTGCACAACTCCAGTCTCACTCAGTTATCCCTCCTCTATATGTCCAAGTTCTCTTGTGAGCATCTGCAAGTGATGCCATACTCTTTCTCAATTGACTGATGGCCAGTCTCAGAATGGTGGATCCATATGATATGCATACCTGTTTACTAATGGCCCATACCTATAGACAGCTGGCCTGGTCTTTCCAGGCCCCTTACTAAGAGTATTGTGTAAAACCTTAGAGCTTTTGAAAAATAATTGGACTTTTGGCTAAAGGAAATGAAAAAATTGCCTCTGTCATCAGTTAGAGGAAGCTCTCTGTGCCTAGATTTTCTGACATGAGATAATAGCCAGTATGGCTTATCCCAACCCAAAATTGTATGCTCTCAGCAGCTTCCGTTCTGTTCTGTTATTTTAATCAGTTTTTGCTCTCTGAAATTCCAATGATGTGCTAACTTAGTTAACATCTCCTTTCTAAATGAGAGGGTTAAGGAGTTAGCAGTAATTCATATAATAATTAGTTTGAATCAAATTACTTTCTTTTGGAATAAAGTCAGGCCAGCCACTCTGAAAGAAGGTGAGTTTTTGGTTGGAGTCAGAAAGTCCCTGCTTTTGGAGGATAAATCCTTTGGGAAAGGGGATAGAGTAAAACCAGTCAAGAGAGATAAGGTGAAGGGTTCAAGGCAGCTCTATATGGAGGACAGGGGTAGGGATAAGAGGTAGTAAGAGGGAAAAGACAAACTTTTGCTTTCAAAATATTCCTGGGCACTGTCCTAATGTTGATACCAATAGTACATCCATATCATGGGATATTCTGCAGCCATTAAAGAAGTAAGGTAGATTTATGGCAAAAAAGAAAGTGTACCAAGACAAGGATGCCTTCTCTCACTACTCCTATTTAACATAGTATTGGAAGTTCTGGCCAGGACAATCAGGCAAGAGAAAGTCATATAGGAAGTCAAACTATCCCTGTTTGCAGATAACATAATCCTATATTTAGAAAACTCCATCATCTCAGGCAAAAGCTTCTTAAGCTGATAAGCAACTTCAGCAAAGTCTCAACTTACAAAATCAATGTGCAAAAATTGCTAGCATTCTAGAATACCAACAACAGTCAAGCAACGAGCCAAATCATAAATGAAGTCCCATTTACAATTGACACAAAAGAATAAAATATCTAGGAATATAGATAACAAGGGAAGTGAAGGACCTCCTTAAGGAGAACTACAAACCACTGCTCAAGGAAATCAGAGAGGAAACAAACAAATGGAAAACATTTCATGCTCATAGATAGGAAGAATCAATATGATGAAAATGGCCATACTGCCCAAAGTAATTTATAGATTCAATGCAATTCCCATTAAGCTACCATTGACATTCTTCAAAGAATTAGAAAAGACTATTTTAAAATTCACATAGAACCAAAAAGGAGCCCAAACAGCCAAGACAGTCCTAACAAAAAGAACAAAGCTGGAGGCATCATGTTACCCAACTTGAAACTATACTACAGAGACACAGTAACCAAAACATCATGGTACTGGTATAAAAACAGACACATAGACCAAGGAAACAGAATAAAGAACTCAGAAATAAGACCACACATCTAAAACCATCTGATCTTCAACAATCCTGATAAAAACAAGCAATTGGGGAAAGGATTCCTTATTTAATATATGGTGCTGGGAGAACTGGCTACCCATATGTAGAAAATTGTAACCCCCTTCTTTACACTTTATGAAAAAAAATCAACTCAAGATGAATTAAAGACTTAAAGGTAAAACTCAAAACTGTAAAAACCCTAGAAGAAAATCTAGGCAACATCATTTAGGACATAGACACAGGCAAAGATTTCATGACAAAAATACCAAAAACAATTGCAACAAAAGCAAAAACTGACAAATGGAATCTAATTAAACTTAAGAATTTCTGCACAGCAATAGAAACTATCATCAGAATGAACAGACAACCTACAGAATGGGGAAAATTTTTTGCAATCTCTCCACCTGATGAAAGTCTAATATCCAGAGTCTACAAGGAACCTAAACAAGTTTACAAGGAAAAAAAATCATTAAAAATGGGCAAAGAACATGAACAGATACTTCCCAAAAGAAGACATTTGTGCAGCCAATAAACATATGAAGAAAAGCTCAACATCACTGATCATTTGAGAAACGCAAATTAAAAACCACAATTAGATACCATCTCATGCCAGTCAGAATGGCAATTATGAAAAAGTCCAGAAAAAACAGATGCTGGAAAGGTTGCAGAGAAAAAGGAATGTTTTTATACGTGTTGGTGAGAATGTAAATTAGTTCAACCATTGTGGAAGACAGTGTGGCAATTCCTCGAAGATCTAGAAGCAGAAATACCATTTGACCCAGCAATCCTATTATTGGGTATATACCCAAAGCAATATAAATAATTCTATTATAAAGATACATGCAAGCATACATTCATTGCAGCACTATTCACAATAGCAAAGACATGGAATCACCCCAAATGCCCATCAATGATCGACTGGATAAAGAAAATGTGGTACATCTACTCTGTGGAATAGTATTCAGCCAAACAGGGAACATGAAAATGACCTTGGCAGGGACATGGTTGGAGCTGGAAGCCATTATCCTCAGCAAACTAACTCAGGAACAGAAAACAAAATACCTCACGTTCTCACTTATGAGTGGGAGCTGAACAATGAGAACACAAAGACACATGGGTGGGGAACAACACACACTGGGGCCTGTCATGGGGGTAGGGGGAGGGAGAGCATCAGAAGAACAGCTAATGGATGCTGGGCTTAATACCGAGGTAATTAATGGGTTGATCTGTGCACCTATGTAACAAACCTGCACATCCCACACATGTACCCCTGAACTTGAAATAAATTGGAAAAAAAGTGCAGGACAGACTGCATGCTTCCATTTCTGCCTATAATTTGAAAGGTGATATGTGCATGCATACATTAGAGTATATGCGGACACGATTTCTGGAAGAAGTGTAATAAATAGTGACTTTGTCTCTATGAAAGAAGTCTGGGGATAAAGGTCTGAGGTAGGATTTTTTTTTCCAGGAGCATATTTTTAATTTGTATGTACTTCACTTACAAATTTTTTAAAAACTAGTTAAAGATTTTCTAGGATTACCCTTACCTTTGAGAGAGGTGGTGTAGAGCAGGGGACTTAGGAAATCTGAGGAGAGAAGAAACAGAAAATCTGTTTGTCTTTCTTCCAAGAAAGCTCAGGGCTTGTGTATCCCCAGACTCCTGTGGTTTTGGAGCCTCAGCTGGATCATGGTTCAGTAAGCTCATCTGGGCTGACCTGGAACTGAACTACCATTTGTGAACTTTTTCTATGGGAGAAAGGCAAACGTTCCACAGAACACACTAAACCAAACTGCCTTCGCCCATTTTTTTCAACTTACTAGCTTTTTTAAAAAAAAAAAAAAAACAAGCTCACCGCAGCACACCCGAGACCCACTTAGATACCAGTTGGCGCCCAGGGAGCTGGGTCAGGCGGTCGCCAGGACACCCCGTGTGTGGCAAGCAGCGAAGTGCTCTGGAGAATCCCAGTCAGCCCTGCTCTGCGCAGCCTGGTGTAGTTTCGGGAGCCACTGAGGCCAAAGTGAGAGTCCAGAGGTCTTCCAGTGCCTGGGCCACGGTGGCGGCCCTGGGCGCAGAGGTGGAGCGACCCCATTACAATAAAGATGAAAGCCTGGGATTGGTGGCCCTGCTTCTGGGGGCCATGCTGGGAACTGCCTGGGCTCGGAGGAGCCAGGATCTCCCCTATGGAGTGTGCAGGGCTCTGGTGGATGAACTAGAATGGGAAATTGCCAAGGTGGACCCCAAGAAAACCATTCAGATGGGACCTTTCCGTATCAATCCAGATGGCAGCCAGTCAGCGGTGGACGTGCCTTATGCCCTCTCAGAGGCCCACCGCACAGAGCTGCTGGAGGAGATATCTGACCGGATGAAGGAGTATGGGGAACAGATTGATCCTTCCACCCATCGCAAGAACTATGTACGTGTAGTGAGCCGGAATGGAGAATCCAGTGAACTGGACCTACAAGGCATCTGAATTGACTCAGGTATCAGTGGCACCCTCAAGTTTGCGTGTGAGAGCGTTGTGGAGGAATACGAGGATGAACTCATTGAATTCTTTTCCCGAGAGGCTGACAATGTTAAAGACAAACTTTGCGGGCTGGGCGCGGTGGCTCAAGCCTGTAATCCCAGCACCATGGGAGGCCGAGGCAGGTGGATCACGAGATCAAGAGATCGAGACCATCCTGGTCAACATGGTGAAACCCCGTCTTTACTAAAAATACAAAAAAATAGCTGGGCGTCGTGGCGCATGCCTGTAATCCCAGCTACTCAGGAGGCTGAGGCAGAAGAATTGCCTGAACCCAGGAGGCGGAGGTTGCAGTGAGCCGAGATCGCGCCATTGCACTCCAGCCTGGGTAACAAGAGCGAAACTCTGTCTCAAAAAAAAAAAAAAAAAAAAAAAAAGACAAACTTTGCAGTAAGCGAACAGATCTTTGAGACCATGCCCTGCACATATCGCATCATGAGCTCTGAATCACACTGGAGCAGCCCACATTGGCTTGATGGATCACCCCCAGGAGGGGAACATGGTGGCATTGCCTTTTATATATTATGTTTTTACTAAAACGAACTGAAAAAATATGAAACCAAAAGTAAAAATCAAACAAACAAACAAAAAAACTTCAAATTTAACCTAGGAGGCCTGAGCCATTCATATTCTAACTCATTTCCTCAGTAGTCACAAAAACCCTATATGCATTTCTGTGGTTGGCTACCTTCTGGATATTTTGTTTGGTTTATTTCTTTGAGAAGACACCCTCTGTTTTGCACTTTCTTTTCTAACTAACTTCTATGGTTTTGTTTTGAGGAAAGTTGTTGCTTTTTGCTTGCTTGCATGCCTGGTAGAGAGCTATTGGCATTTGGTACATATCTGGTAAATTAAGGGTGGACACCAAAGCAGATAGGTTACTATAAGTTGTCACAGGTAAAACTTTGGTCTGAGAAGACACTGTAGAAGAGATTTCAATCTAGCACAGTGCTTCTCAGTTGTGGCATTATTGATATAATTCTTTGCTGAGATACTGAGATAATTCTTGCTTGTGGACCACTGTCCTGTGTATTACAGGCACTTAAGCAGCATCCCTGACCTCTACCCACTAAATGCCAATAAGAACCACTAGTTGTGACAATTAAAAAAATGTCTCTAGGTGGTGCCAAATGTCCCCTGGAGCAAAACCATCCTATTGACTAAAGGAATTCATTCAGGATGGTGGCAAAAATACTAAGGGAAAAGTAGTAGAGAAAGTTTATAAAATATAGTCTCAAACCCTTTTGGAAGGTCTAAGGATTTTTTCATAGTTTCAGTGAAAGTTTCCACTGAAAGCAGCCTAAATCCCCCTTACATTTAATTAATAAGTAAAGCAAATTGCTAGGACATGTGGGGGAGCTTACCTAATTTGTTTACTCATGTAGTCTTAAAGTCCCACTGCAGGGGAGGTTGACCAGGGATATTATCCTCTAGTGATATTTGCTGTGGACATTGGAACCTGTGCTTTAATCTTTCACTCTAGCGGTGTTGACTCAATCCTTTGTCAATAAAACTTTACTAAACAAATGCGAGTCTCACTGGCTGGTGGGGCTGGTGGTTGCAACTGTTCACAGCACACTCCAGGGTGCCTGTAAGGCACCTGGTCACCCTCAGCCAGACTGGCAAGCCATAAATCTGTGTGTCAGTGTACTTCATTCATCAACTCAACTTCATTGTTGAGTCAGGGTCTTCAGGACAGATCCCCACAGGTGGCGACCCTGACAGTTGACAATCACCAATTTAGAGTGATTTCGGATTTTCTATTCAGTGTCCAGAAATCGGTCTCTATGTTGAGATAACTCTTCAAATCCTGGAAACCTAGAGATGTGGCCCAGCTAAAGCTTCTGAAAACTTACATAGTGTCTTTGTGAAGAATTAGAAAAGGTATCTAGAGGAATTAGAAAGGGTTAGATAAGGAAGATCAGGCCAGGTTTCATTCTCCATTTCTCCTCTCCTTTTATTCCTGCTGTGTACATGAGATGCTCTAAGTCAACGGTCTTGCTGTGTTGATAGAGAACAGGTTCTTGGAGCCAGTCCCAGGCAGAGGGATGAAATGCAGACTTGGTGGCCTTACCATTAAATCAGCTGTACTATGGCCACTTCCAAATAGTGTATCAAGAAAACATTTCTCATTAATATGGATAAGGAGATTGTCCCTAGGAATGTATTCATTTAACAAATGTTTACTGAGGACCTACTATATACTGGGAGGAAAAATGCTTCCCTCTACCTCTTTACTCCCTTATTTCTGCCTAAAGTATTATATTTCTGTGTTTGGTATTACTTCTTTTTACATTTTTCAGAATCTGTCTTACTAGCACAAAGTCTTCTCCCCCCACCCCTTAATTGACTTCTGAAGGGTCAATTGCAATTAAAAGGAAGAGGAGTGATGAGAGGGATGGCTTGAGTTTCAGAATGTTCCTTAGCTGTGTGTCAGGGCCCCACAAGTGCACAGGATGCTGGGCTGCATTCTGGAGGCTCTCCTTGGCTCTGACTGGATTTAGAAGTTATTCTACAGTGTGCTAGCACATCAGTTGCCAAGGCAGTTTGTAGAATCTGCTTCCCTGGAGGTATTCAAAAATACAACAAGATGGTAATCTCCATGATGGTTCCAGTGCAGTCCTGCTGATTAGAAGGAACAGGCTCGATTTTTCTGTCAAGGTTTGTTTCATTCTTGAGTGTCTTAGATGGAAGAGTTTTTTTTTTTGGTGCAGGAGGGAGGGATATAAAGTGAAACTCTATGAAGTTATTGGCATAGCACTACACACATCCTGGATATTTATATTTATGTAATTATTAATTTTTAGATGGTTAACTTTATTGTGTTATGTCTCACCAAATAGCATATATGCTGGAATATTCTTTGAAATTTAAGATTCCATGAGACAAGTTTAAATGTTCATACTAAATATCTTGTAATGACATTTTAATCTTAGAATACTATATTTTTTGCTTGTTGAAAACACAGTTGAGTAAAATTACTTCAGTGTCAGACATTTTTACTAATACATACAATCAGCTAGTTTTCAGAACAGAAAGTTTCTTTTTTACGCTACTCTGCTACCATTTTTCTAATAGACATAGTCTTAAGAAGATACAGTATCTGTTGTGGAGATACTTTATGATTTTTCTCTTCTATTAGTATCTGATACTAAAATCAGAGTATTCAAGTTTAGAGATGGTTTTTTCTTTTTTCTTTTTGAGACAGAGTTTCACTGTAGTTACCCAGACTGGAGTGCAATGGCGCGATCTCGGCTCACCGCAACCTCCGCCTCCTGGATTCAGGCAATTCTCCTGCCTCAGCCTCCCGAGTAGCTGGGATTACAGACGTGCGCCACCATGCCCAGCTAATTTTTGTATTTTTAGTAGAGACGGGGTTTTTACCTTGTTGACCAGGATGGTCTCGATCTCTTCACCACCTCGGCCTCCCAAAGTGCTGGGATTACAGGTGTGAGCCACCGCGCCCGGCCTCCCTATCTTCTTAGCTTCATCTTCGGTATACATTCTGAAGCAAACACCCTGCACTCTCCCGAACACCTCGTAGTCCACGGATATGAGTGGCCGGGTGGTAGACATGGCGGGGGCGAGCCCTCTGCAGAGGAGCCGGAGCAGGGCTCCGGGCGCGACGACTGCAGCGGCCGCGAGAGGGAGGGGGCACATGGGACCGCTTGGCGCACCCGCGCCTGTCATCACCCGTCGCGGACGCGAGTGCGCCGGGGTCAAGCATCGGAAGCGGCAAATGACAGTGCAGGGCCTGGGAGCAAGGGCAGCGGGGCTCCAGGCATCCTAGGCATACTTTTCCTGTATTTATTTATTTTGAGATGGAGTCTTGTTCTGTCACCCAGGTTGAAGTGCAGTGGTGCGAACTCAGCTCACTGCAATCTCTGCCTCCTGGGTTCAAACAATTCTTCTGCATTAGCCTCCCGGGAAGCTGGCCCGCCACCACACCTAGCTAATTTTTGTATTTGGAATAGAAACAGGGTCTCGCCATGTTGGCCAGACTGGTCTCAAACACCCAACCTCAAGGGATTCACCTGCCTCAGCCTCCCAAAGTGCTAAGATTACAGGTGTGAGCCACCACTACAAGCTCATCCTGGATAGAGAGTAAAACATACTGTTTTCATGCTTTTATTGTTTTTAAAATACTTAGTTGTGCCATGTGAGGGCCTTTTAGGTTCCTATGGCACAGAGGAGTCAGTGAGGTACAGAATCATTTAATTATCAGTTAGAGTGACAGCCTGGCTTGACACAGAGCAGAAATAGTGTTCCTTGATGTCTGCTCTCCAAGTGCACGCTTTTTTCTCTTCCTGTTGTTTCTTTGTGTTTGCGGTCTTTGCTTTGTCATGTAGGGCTCATAGAGTTATAACAAGCTGGAGAAACTATGTAGTATAAGTACGTCCTACACAACTTTTATAGCAGCTGTCCTATATTTTATCTGGCCATCCTGGCCCCAGGCAACCCTATGTGAGGAACTCATAGGTCCATTTTACAAGGGAAGGAACTGAGGCTCAAAGAGATTAAATGACTTTCCCACAGTAACACCTGAGATGGAATGGACGCACCTGACTCCAAAGTCCCCACATGGCCTTTGCTTGTCTGGGAGATGGAGCTCCGAGTGCAACTGGTTAAGGGGGTGAATGCATTGGCAGGAGATGTGATGAGTTTGAGATTGTATTGGGAACATCTGGCACATGGTGCCCATCAACCAATTTTTAGTCTCTCTCTCCCTTCCTTCTCCTGCATCAAATTGGAAATTTCCTTCAGACCCTTACACAGAGAGTCCTCTACAAACACGCTGAATTGTAGCCCTCTAAGGAAGCAGAAGAAAGAAGGATGATGTTGGATTAGATCCCTGCCATGACAGTTTGAGGTCTCAGACAGCTCAGTACAAAGAGACCCTGGAATGCAGCCACAGATCCCTGGAAGAGACTTTACAGGTACCATGCTGGAGAGTGGAGCGTGAGAAAGATTGTCTCAAAGAACAGGAGCAGAAATTATCAGAGACACCACAAACTTGAAAAGTCAGAATGGGTAAGGCCTGGGAAGAAAAACAAAATCTTACCTTTACAATAGCTTCAAGGACCACAAATTTAAGGGCTCTCCAGAGGCTTTAGGAGAGAGAGAGTCAAGGAAGTGCTGGTGCAGGATACAACCCTTTCAAAAGAAACCATGCCTGTGGTCTCACTACTGTGGGCAGTGGTGGCAATGTCAACGTTTGCTCTTCTTGGG